TATGAAATGCTAAGAAGCTTGCTTCTTTCAAGAGGGGGAGCCCAAGAAGACCACATTGCATGCATGGCTGGAAATGTAACACCCTGATGAGGGAAAAGGATATTTTGATGAAACATAAGGTAGTTTTGTGAATGTTTTAAAATCAGTCAAGTATTCTGTTCAAACTTTCTGTTCAAGAATTTTATAGATAAGATAATGAGAAACTAATTTGCTCTGTAAACCTTCATCTAAAGCATAATAATAATAAAAAAAAATTTGGACACACAAAAAAGAATTTTATGGATAAGAATCAAACTAGAATCAGGTTCTGTCAAGTAAGACGTCTTTACAGGGTAAGTAAAAAAATCTTATAATGAAGTACTTTCAAACCCTGAATAAAGATTCGTGGATTCTGTGAACTGGTTTGAGAATTACAAGGTAAGGGTTACAGTAAGTTGAAAGTAATGTACTGAATGGTGACATAAAGGGTAACTCTCCAGATCAAATTTATTTATTCAGTGTATTAATGGCCTGAATGAAATAGGAATGTTACCTATTTTGAACTTTAAAAATACTGAACTAATACTCTGGGATACTGCAAGAAAATTCAAATTGTCCTTAATCAAACTAGATGTTGCCTGGCTACCACCAATGACTGCCCTGACAGGGAACACAACAGAGACTCCCTGATGGAGCAGGAGAAAAGTGGGGTGCAGAACTCAAATTCTAGTAAAAAGACCAGACTTAATGGTCTGAGACTGGAGGATCCCCAGAAAGGATGGCCCCCGGACTCTATGTCAAGCCAGCACTAAAACCATTCCTGAGGCCAACTCTTCAGACAAAGATTAGACTGGACTATGGAACATAAAATGATACTCGTGAAGAGAATGCTTCTTAGCTCAAGTAGATACATGACATTAAATGGGCAGTTCCTGTCCGGAGGTGAGATGAGAAGGCAGAGAGGGTCAGGAGCTGGTTGAATAGACACTCAAAATCAGGGGTGGAAAGCAGGAGTGTGCTGTCACAGTACAGGGAGAGCAATTAGGGTTACAGAACAATGTATGTATAAATTTTTGTATGAGAGACTAACTTGAATTATAAACTTTCATTTAAAGTACAACAATAAAAATAAATAAATAAATTGTCCTTAATCAACTGGAAATAGTCCTACAAAAAAGAGATGAATTAAATTAGAGTGTTTATAGCCTGATTTTTTTCTTGGTGATAGCCAGCCTAGTGAAAGGCAAACACTGACACGGAGAGGCAATGGAACTGTTGAGGCATGGAGGTTCACAGAGACACGCAGGTGAGTAGACAGCACTGGAGAGCGGGAGAAAACAGTTTTCAGTAGATTCAAAATAGTGGATTCACACCTCTCCTTAGCTACGCACTAACTGCAATCTCAAAAAGATTAACTAACCTTGAACTTCAGTTTCTTCATCTACGTGAAAGAGAGAATATTTTCTATCTTCCATGATTGTTGTAAAGATAGATGGTAGTTGTTTTTGTTAGCTGCTGTCGTGTTGGCCCCTGACCCATGATGACCTCATGCACAATGGAGCAAAACACTGCCTGATCCTGCGCCATCTCCATGATAGGTTGTGGACAGGATCATTGTGATCCATACGGTTTTCACTGGCTAATTCCTGGAAGAAGACTGCCAGAACTTTCTTCCTAGTCCGTTTTAGTCCAGAAGCTGCGCAGAAACCTGTTCAGCATCATAGCAACACACTAGCCTTCACTGACAGATGGGCGGTGGCTGTGCATGAGGTCCATCAGTCAGGAATTGAAAGCAGGTCCCTGCGTGGAAGGTGAAAATTCTACCACTGAACCACCACTGCACCCATAGATAAATGGTAGCTACTGTTATTATTAGGAAGCCCAGGTGGCGCAGTGGTTAAGTGCTCAGCTGCAAACCCAAACAGCGGTTTGAACCTACCAGCTGCTCTGAGGGAGAAAGATGTGGCTATTTCTGCTTCCGTAAGGTTTACAGCCTTGGAAATCCTATGCGGCAGTTCTACTCTGTCCTACAGCGTCGCTATGAGTCAGATTTGACTTGATGGTAGTGAGTTTTTGGCGGTTTACCGTTATTAATAATAGAAAGAAGGATAAATACTTTAGTAGTTTATACCTTCTGTTGATTCTTTCAAAAACAATAAAAGAAGAATGAAACACCAATGAATGGCAAAGACGATTTAGGCAGCAGGGCAAATCGATAAGAATCTGTATAACCATCTTGCCTAGTTTAAACAAATGTGAGGGAGAGAAAAACAAACCTATGCCTAGGGTACACAGGTAGAAGTTCAAAGCTAGAAAGGAAAAGAGATCATTGTATAAAGATGGAGGTGCATATTATCAACTGTAAAATGCAAAAGTGAAGCAGGAAGAAAAAGAAAGATAAGGAACTAAAATTTAAAAAATGATAAAAATCTTAGCAGGAGGGAAACAAACAAAAACCCAAACCTGTTGCTGTTAAGTCGATTCTGACTCATAGCGACCCTATAAGGGAGTAGAATTGCCCTATAGGGTTTCCAAGGCTGTAAATCTTTACGGAAGCAGACTGCCACATCTTTCTCCTGCAGAGAGGGTGGCGGGTTCGAATCGCTGACCTTTTGGTTAGCTGCCGAGCATTTAACCACTGCAGCACCAGGGCTCTTTTTAGGAGAAGGGAAAAGAGAGATAAAAATTAGTAACAACAATTCTAAAAGAAGCAGAAAGGCTAGAAGAACCAGAGAAATAAAGACAGACAGTTACATGAAATAATAAATTATTTGTGTTTAAGTTAGGGGACCAGACGAAAGGAAATACCAAATGATAACTAAAGAGGAAGTTACATGAATAACAACACATTTAAAACAAGGTAATATGATATCCATTGTGTAAAATGTGTTTCAGATCTGGGCTATCAACGACAGAGCAGAGATAAACTGTGGCAAAAGTACAAGAGGAAAGAATGCCTATCCTTTTTTTTCTTAAATTGTGCTTTAGGTGAAAATTAGTTTTCTCATTCAAAAACTGATACACAAATTGTTTCGTGACATCATGACACTGGTTGCAGTCCCTACAATGTGTCAGCACTCTCCCTCTTTCCACCCTGGGTTCCCCGTTTCCATTCGTCCGGTTCTCCTGTCCCTTCCTTCCTTCTTGTCTTTGCTTTTGGGCAGGTCTTGCTCATTTGGTCTTGTATCCTTGATTGATCTAAGCAGCACATGTCATTGTTTGTTTTATAGGCCTGTTTAATCTTTGGTTGGAAGGTGAACTTTGGGAATGGCTTCAGTTCTGAGTTAGAAGGATGTCCGGAGCCACAGTCTCAGGGGTTGCTCAGTCAGACCAGTAAGTCTGGTCTTTTTTGTGAATTTGAATTTTGTTCCATATTTTTCTACTGCTCTGTCCGGAAGCCTCTATTGTGATCCCTGTCAGAGAGGTTGGTGGTGGGAGCCAGGCACTATCTAGTTCTTCTGGGTTCAGACTGGTGGAGGCTGTGGTTCATGTGGTCCATTAGTCTTCTGGACTAATATTTTCCTTGTGCTTTTGGTTTTCTTCATTCTCCTTTGCTCCAGATGGGACGGGACCAACAGATGTATCTTAGATGGCCATTCACAAGCCTTTAAAACCCTAGACGCTACTCACCAAAGTAGGATGTAGAACATTTTCTTTATGAACTATGTTATGCCAATTGACCTACATGCACCCTGAGACCATGGTCCCCAGACCTCAGCCCCAGTAACTTGGGTCTCTAGGGGTTTGGATGTGTTTAGGAAGCTTCTATGACTGTGCCCCCAATATGCTCTATTATACATATAAATATACATGCTGTACATACAAATAGGAATGTAAAAATATCCACAGCCTAGCCTATGTATGTATGCATATGGGTATACTCCTAAACACCCTCCTTCCCCTATTCAGCACAGGTACCTGCCTGTAAGTTATTATTTTTTACTGCTGTTGTAGGGTTCAATATGTTATAGTATATACTATGGTTGCCTCTCTTTTTTTTTTTCCTTGTGTTCCTCTAACTGTCTTCCTTTGCCTTGGTCGAGTTGTGCTGACTTCCTCTATATTGGGCATTGTCTTTCCTTTCACCAGAGTTAACACCTGTCTAGCATCTAGTTAGTGATTTCCCCGCCCCACCCCATACCTCATTAACCAACCATGAAAGATGGTTTCTTTCTGTGTGTAAACATTTTCTTGAGTTTTTATAATAGTGGTCTCATACAATATTTGTCCTTTCATGATTGACTTGTTTTACTCAGCATAATGCTCTCCAGAGTCCTCCATGTTGTGAGATGTTTCACAACATGGATTCATCATTGTTCTTTATTGTTGCATAGTATTCTATTGTATGTATGTACCATGATTTGTTTATCCATTAATCTGCTGATGGGCACTTAGGTTGTTTCCATCTTTTTGCTATTGTGAACAATGCTGCAATGAACACAGGTGTGCATATGTCTATTTGTGTGACGGCTCTTATTTCTCTAGGGTATATTTCTAGGAGTGGGATTGCTGGATCATACGGTATTTCTAGTTCTAGCTTTTTAAGAAGTGCCATATTGTTTTTCATAGTGGTGGTACCATTTTACATTCCCACCAGCAGTGTATGAGAGTTTCAGTCTCCCCACAACCTCACCAGCATTTACTGTTTTCTGAATTTTTGATCAGTGCCATTCTTGCAAGGTAATATGGTATCTCATTGCGGTTTTGATTTGCATCTTTCTAATGGCTAATGGGAGCCCTGGTGGTACAGTGGTTAAATAGTTATCTGCTAACCAAAAGGTTGGCAGTTCGAATCCACCAGCCACTCCCTAGAAACCCTGCAGGGCAGTTCTACTCTGTCCTATAGGGTCACTATGAGTCAGAACAGACTTGACGGCAACAGGTACGGGTATTGGCTAATGATTGCAAGCATCTTTTCATGTATTTGTTGGCTGCCTGAATGTTCTCTTTGGTGAAGTGTCTTCATGTCCTTGGCCCATTTCGTGATTGGGTTGCTTGTATTTTTATTGTTGAATTGTTGAAGTTTTCTGTATATTTTAAGAGATTAAACCTTTATCAGATATGTTGTTGCCAAAGATTTTTTTTCCTAGTTCAAAGCTTTCCTTTTTACTCTCTTGGAAACGTCTTTTGATGAATATAAGTATTTAATTTTTAGGCGGTCCCATTATTTAGTTTATCTTCTGGAGTTTGAGCAATTTTAGTTATGCTTGATATTATATTTGTGCCATAAATTAGGGCCCCTAGCATTGTCCCTACGTTTTCTCTCATGAACTTTATAGTTTTAGGTTTTACAATTAGGTCTTTAACCCATTTTGAGTTAGTTTTTGCGTATGGGGTTGGAGGTATGGATCCTGTTTCATTTTTCTGCAAATGGATATCTAGTTTTGCCATCACCATTTGTTGAAGAAGACTATCTCTTTCCATTTAATAGACTTTGACCCTTTGTCAAAGATCAGGTGCCTACAGGTGGATGGATTTATTTCTGGGTTCTCAATTCTGTTCCATTGGTCTATGTGTCTGCTGTTATATCGGTACCAGGCTGTTTTGACTACTGTAGCTGTATAGTAGGTTCTGCAATCTGGTGGTGTGAGGCCTCCTACTTTGTTCTTCTTTTTCAGTAATGTTTTACTTATCCAGGGGCTCTTTCTGTTCCATATAAATTTGGTGACTCATTAAAGAATGTTGTTGGAATTTGGATCACGATTGCATTGTATCTATAGATTGCTTTGGGTAATACTGACATTTCCACATTTTCACAATGTTAAGTCTTCCTATTTATGAGCATGGAATGTTTTTCCATTTATGAAGGTCTCTTTTGGTTGCTTGCAGTAGTGTTTTGTAGTTTTCTCTGTACAAGTCTTTTACATCTGTGGTGCAATGGATCGCTTTTATATGGCTTTTCTTGCCATGGTCTTATAACAATCACTTGGGTGGGACTGTGCAAATAGGGTAATTGTGGCCCATCAAGGGCATTGGTCAGTTTTGCCATCCCACTAGGCTTAAAAAGATAGCCAATTCCAAAGCAGGGAGAAGATCTCACCACTAGCAAGGAAGAATAGCCAAGACCAGAGTGTGTCCTTTGGACCCGAGATCACTGCACTGAGAAGCTTCTAGAACCAGGAAACCTCCTGGAACCAGGTAACGAGAGAGAGAGCCATAATGCTGAAGGCAGTGAGATGCAGTGGCACAGAAACGGCGACAGGAGAGACTGGCAGGAGATGGTGTGGTGGGTTTCCAGGCCTGTGGAGCAAGAAAGCTGAGTGCCTTTGGGCTAAGGCTTACTGGCGGAGTGGGGTGTCTCTAGGCACTTACTTATTGGCAGAGCTAAAAGAGCTTTGTAACACTTGCCTGAGCAGGGCAGACGCTGAGGATCAGAGAGAGGCGTGCCTGCAAGCACAGCCGAGAAAAGGCTGTCCTGATGGAAGAATTGTATCCTGAGTGGTCTTGAACCTGAATTATAACCTGTTATTTCCCTAATAAACCCCATAATCATAAGTATTGTCTGTGAGTTCTGTGTGGCCATTGCGATGAATTATCGAACTTAGTAGAGAAGTAGAAAGTGCCGTGGGAGGGATGGTGGGTATCAGAATTGATAAAGGTGGTGGAGAGAGGAAGCAAGTCTGACCTCTGCCTCATAGGAATCAGCCTTGGGCTGCTGATTTTGATTCTCCTTCCCCCTTGTGAAGAGAGAGGTCAGATGCTGCCCTCACGTCATTTTTACAGTTTGCTTGATATATTTTTTTAAATTTCTTTTTATTGTACTTTAGATGAAGGTTTACAGAACAAACTAGCTTCTCATTAAACAGTACACATACTGTTTTATGACACTGGTTAACAACCCTCTCCCTTCTCGACCTTGGGTTTCCTATTACCAGCTTTCCTGTCCTCTCCTGCCTTCTAGTCCTTGCCCCTGAGCTGGTGTGCCCCTTTAGTCTCGTTTTGTTTTACAGGCCTGTCTAATCTTTAAATGAAGGTGAGACTCAGCAGTGACTTCATTACTGAGTTAAAAGGGTGTACAGGGGCCATATTCTTGGGGTTTCTCCAGTCTCTGTCAGGCCAGTAAGTATGGTCTTTTTTTTTGTGAGTTAGAATTTTGTTCTACATTTTTCTCCAGCTCTGTCTAGGACCCTCTGTTGTGAACCCTGTCAGAGCAGTCAGTGGTGGTAGCCAGGCACCATCTAGTTGTACTCAGTCTGGTGGAGGCCGTGGTAGTTGTGGTCCATTAGTCCTTTGGACTAATCTTTCCCTTGTATCTTTAGTTTTCTTCACTCTCCCTTGCTCCCAAAGGGGTGAGACCAGTGGAGTATTTTAGACAGCCACTCAAAGGCTTTTAAGACCCCAGATGCTACTCACCAAAGTAGAATGTAGAACATTTTCTTTATAAACTATGTTATGCCAACTGAGCTAGATGTTCCCCAAGACCATGGTCCACACAGCCCTCAGCCCAGTAATTGGGTCCTTCAGGGAGTTTGGATGTGTCTATGGAGCTTCCATGACCTTGCCTTGGACAAGTTGTGCTGGCTTCCCCAGTATTGTGTACTGTCTTATTCTTCACATCTATTGTCTATTTAGTGTTTTTTCTTCCCCATCCCTCCCTCATAATGACCAAAGATTGTTTCTTTTGGTGTGTAAGTCTTTTCATGAGTTTTTATAGTAGTGTTTTCATACAATATTTGTCCGTGATTGACTTACTTCACTCAGCATGATGGCCTACAGATTCATCCATGTTGCGAGATGCTTTACAGATTCATCATTGTTTTTTATAGTTGCATAGTACTCCATTGTGTGTATGTACCATAGTTTGTTTATCCATTCATCTATTGATGGGCACTTAGGTTGTTTCCATCTTTTTGCTATTGTGAACAATGCTGCAATGAACATGGGTATGCATACTCTTTATTGTGTGCCGACTCTTTATTTCTCTAGGATATATTCCTAGGAGTGGGATTGTTGGATCATATGGTATTTCTAGTTCTAGCTTTCTAAGGAAGCGCCATATCATTTTCCAAAATGGCTGTATCATTTTGCATTCCCACCAGTAATACATAAGAGTGCCAATCTCCCCACAGCCTCTCCAACATTTGTTACTTTCTGTTTTTTTGATTCATGCCAGTAATGCCAGGGTGAGATAGTATCTCACGGTGGTTTTGATTTGCATTTCTCTAATGGCTAGTGATCGTGAGCATTTCCTCACATGTCCATTAGTTGCTTGAATGTCTTCTTCAGTAAAGTGTCTGTTCATTTTGTCTGCCCATTTATTAATTGGATAATTTGTCTTTTTGTTGTAGAGGTGTTGGATTTTCGTGTAGATTTTAGAGATTAGACCTTTATTGGATTTGTAATAGCCAAAATATTTTTCCAGTCTGTAGGTTTTCTTTTAACTCTTCTGGTGAAGCCTTTTGATGAGCATAAGTCTTTAATTTTTAGAAGATCCCAGTTATCCAGCTTATCTTCTGGAGTTTGTGTGTTGTTAATTATGGCTTATATCCTGTTAATGCCGTGTATTAGGGTGTGACGGTTAAGATTGTATGTCAACTTGGCTAGGCCATGATTCTCAGGGTTTTAACAATTGTATAATGTTGTGATCACTTCCCTGTTGAAATCTGATATGTGATTACCCCCATGATGGAATCTGCTGAGCGGTACCGGTGGGGGTGGGGCCTGTGGTGGCTCACTGCACCCTCAGCCTTCATCTCTCTGCCCTCTTCCAGCTACTTCCTTCCTGCTCACCTTGCCCAGGTTTTTGGCTTGTTCCAGACCCAGCAGCTGCCTCCTGTTGTCTCATCTCCGGTTCTTGGGACTTGAGCTAGCAGCTTATCTGTTGATCTCCACAGCGTGTGAGCAAGAGTCCTGTTCCCCGACCTGCTGATCTTGGGTTTGCCGGCCTCTCCAGCTACATGAATCAGGAGAAACCTTGCGGTCTTGTCTGCTGATCTTGGAATTCGTCGACCTTCACAGCCTGTGAGTGGGAACCCTGCTCTCTGACCTGCCGACCTTGGGTTCGCCAGCTTCTGCAGCTGCATGAATTGGGAGAGGCCTCTACCTTAATCCACAGACTTGGGACATTCTAGTCTCTACAATCACGTGAGCTGTTTCCTTGACATAAATCTCTCTCTATATGTATTTATACGCTTTACTGGTTTTGCTTCTCTAGAGAACCCAGCTTAAGACATACGGCCTCTAGCGCTGATCCTATTTTTTCTTAAAGGATCTTTATAGTTTTTGGCTTTATGTTTAGGTCTTTGATTCATTTTGAATTAGTTTTTGTATATGGTGTGAGGTATGGGTCGCTTGACATATATTTTTTTACATCCTTTGATTTTTAGCCTTTTTGTCTTTGTGTCCAATGGTGTCTCTTGTAGGCAACATATTGATGGATCATGTTTTTTTTTTTTTTTTTTTTAATCCATTCTGCCACTCTATCTCTTGACTGGTGCATTTAACCTGATTACATTCAGTGTAATTGCTAATAGATATGCATTTACTGCTGTCATTTTGTTATGCTTTTCTTTTTCGGTGGTATTGACAGTTTCTTTGTTCCGCTTAATTTTCTGTGCTGAATTCTTTTTCTTCATGGATTTTCTTCTCATTTCCTTTGTTTTTTGTCAATTTTGTGTTTACTGAGTCTTTTTGATTTTCTTCGTTTTGGGGGTAGGTTTGTTAATTTTCTTTGTGGTTATCAAGGGATGCCTATCTTAATGGTTTTAATATACCTATCTCTTAAAATATGAGCTATTAACTCTCTTCTGGAAAATATTCTCTCTACTCTTTGAGTAAAACTTCAAATTTTGGGGTGCTTCTACTTGAGACCTTATTGACCACAAACAAAAATCTACCCAGGTCATTTTTTAAGTCAATCCTTTCTCTAATTAAAAAATAAATCCTTGTTATCTTCTAATGTTAATTTTTGGTTCATATTCATACCAAAGAAGATCTTTAAGAAAAAGACAGAAGTAAAACAAAAGAGTAAAAAAAAAAAAAAAAAATTACCTCTCCAAGTCCTTCTAGTGTTCTGACTGCAATGAGAAATCCAACTCCTAAATCCGCAGCAAGGGGGGTAAACACAGTGAAGACAGCAGTGCCAAGGATCCCAAATCCTAGCAGCAGTTTACCCCCTACTTTGCTGGCAATATAGCCTCCAGGAATCTGTGTGATGATGTAGCCATAAAAAAAAGAACCAAGAATCCATCCTTGAGTTTCTGCATCCCATTGGTACCTTTTACCCTGTAAGGAGTAGGAGGGGGGAAAAAACCCTTTAAGATATTGACTTAACAGCTCCTTTCTCTCATCAGTAGGTAAATATGAATATAATTTTGAATCACTGCTTTAGACTGAGGAACATGCACACCTTCTAGTAAGCAGGCCAGTCACCAGAATACAGACATACAGTTTCTAGAAATAAATGGAAGACAACTGAAAATCATAAACTTCAAGATTTGCTATTATGAAATTAGACTATAGGATGAGTTGTGGAGGATTTGTAACAACCATGACCAAAAAGGCTTAAAAAAGAGCCATATGCTTTATCTAGAAAGCTATTAAACAGGATACTGTAGTGGCTGAGCTAGTCTTTGGAGGTAGACAGGCCTAGGTTTAAGCCCAGCTCTGTCACTTACTGGACGTGTGATATGGGAAGATTAAATGAAAAGGGCACATAAAATACGGCCTGACACACAATAAATGTTCACTTAATGTTGGCTACTAGTATGTATACACATAGATGATTAATACTGCTCCATTTCAGACCAAGTACTTGAACGAGCATATGGAAAAATAAAAAGAGCAAGAATTTAAACCAGGCCATAAACTTCATGTAAATGGGAACTGTCTTTTACTTAGTAGCAGCACACAGTAAGGTAACATAGAGATTTAATGACTGATTTGAATACTGCTATCTTTAATGCAAGTAACTGTATACTCAAGCTAATGGGTCAAGAAACATTCCAGGATTTTTTTACTGTCAATGTAAGCCAGCTGAAGATATGTAGCTAGATCAACAAAAACATTTGCCCAAGAGAAAGATACAAAAGCAAATGTCTAATTATCCTTGCTTAGAGTACCAATTTGCAGCTTATCTGTGGCATTCTAGGACTTCGTGAACTGCACAGCAGTGCTGTCCCTGAACGCCATAGGCTGGAGTAGGGAAAGTGAGAGATGGGTACTCAGATATGTTATTCAACATTATTAAAGTCAAATATAAAGATTTTTGATAAGTCATTATTTTGTGTGTATGCTTGTTTGGAGAGAAACCCTCCTCCCTGCTTGACGGCTCCCCTTAGTAAATGACACAGGCAACTCATTCAGGTGTGAAGTGGCTCCTTCATAAGCACTGAAAATGAGTGAAAGTACATCCATAAAAAAGGACACTAGCTTTTTCTCCCTACATTGTCTCCCTTTGTGATAAGCAAAATTAAATACTTAAAGTGTATAAAATCCAGAGCTTATCTTTATCTTCTGGATAAATGAACACGCAGTTATGGATTCCACTGTAACATAGAACAGGCAAAATGACTTAAGCAGCTTAGGCTGTTGTTAGGTGCCATCAAGCTGATTCTGACTCATAGGACCTATGTGACAGAGTAGAACTGCACATAAAGTTTTCTTGGCTGTAATCTCTACCGAAACAGATTGCCAGGTTCTTTTCCTGCAGAGCCGCTGGGTGGGTATGAACGGTCAACCTTTCAGTTACCAGCTGAGCGTTTAACTGCTGTGCCACCAAGGCATATATATATTTTGGAAAAGAATATCCTAAGAAATTCACCAGTTTTTATTTTTCCATCCTTCAGCTGATACTATGTAAGGTCTCCTGCAACAGTAACCCTATAAGTGAAACACCTCTGAAATAATACTCCTATAAAAACGATTTAGCAACCTATTAAACAACCCAATTTACTATGCCAAACAGGTTTTTCCAAATTCCCTTCCAGGATGTTATGTTTATATAGGGGACTAAAGAACTACATTTCAAAGGGATCGAGCTGTATTCTAGCACAGCGGCAATAGCTGCAGTTATGTTATTGTCCACCCAGTTCCTGGGAAAACACAAAATGAAAGTGATTTAGAGTAATCAGGGAGACAGTGCTTACGGTTTCTGTGGTATGAAGAGAGATCTTTCAAAGTTTTTACTATGTGGTATTTTATAATTAATTAAAAATGCTTGCTTAAAACAATGGCACCTACCGTTTGATTATGAACTTTTATGGGAACAGAATGCTCTGGACATTCACTGGAAGTGCTGTTCTCTGCTAAAGTTGTATTTGAATTTACCATATCCACTAATGCAACACTCAGGTTCACACGTAATGCATAGACAACGAAGAAACCAAAAAAGGCCAAAAGTGCTAAGTTGTAACGAGCAGAGCAGCACACCACAGCTGAAATAAAGATTGAGGAAAACTTTAATTAAAAAAATAATCAGATGACATTATCTAAACCACTAAAGTTAGGTTAGTTTTTAGAAGTGCGTAAATTAATAAATCATGACTATTTTCCCAAGAATATCCTCAGATTAAGTATATCTGAAAACATTTATCAAAAAGAATTCGTTCCCCGTATCTGTGCTGTTGTTAGGTGCTGTTGAGTCAGTTCCGACTCATAGCAACTCATAGAACGAAACACTGCCTGGTCCTGCACCATCCTCACAATCGTTGTTATGCTTGAGTCCACTGTTGCAGCCGCTGTGTCAATCCATCTCATTGAGAGTCTTCCTCTTTTTCGCTGACCATCTGCAGTTTTCATAAAAATTACCCATGAAAACCTGAGCTGTAAGACAGTTCATTAAAATGTAGGGGTAGCAGCTTTATCAACCTTGCTCAGAAAAGCCTCTATGCCAGAGTCAAAACTGAACCCCTAATCCCTGGCTGGGGTTCAGATGGCAAAGACATGGCATGGAAAAAATAGGTAAAAGGATTTAATGGCATCATTATCCCTGAAAAACTATATAAAGCATCATCAGTAAGTACTTACTAGCCACAGTATATAGAGTCCTGACTATAGGTTAGTAGCCATCTCAATGTAAATGCACCACAGCAAAAAAAAATTTACTGCCAAGACTAGGGCACGAAATCACTCCTGATAAATTCCTTACCTTGAAGAGTATCCTCAGAGGTTGGGTTTGAATGAGCAGCTGTAATAAATACTTAAGACTCTCCTAAATGAAAAGTATTTAAGAATCCAGAAGCAAACTTGCAGTATCTATGCTAAGTTTCTGTGATAGCTGCTCAGTAGTTATCACACTTAAAGGGCCCAGGAAAAAGGGAAATAAGTGAAGGCAGAATGGTACCACAATTTAAAAAAAAAAAAAGGCAGAATAGTTTGGAGGAACCATTGAAAGAAAGGTCATGTGAAAGGAGGAACTTGATCTATTTTTTACTCTAATTGCAGGCATATGCACATATTTTCTTTTTACTTCTTTTACTGAGTTGCAGAATTGAAAGAGGATGGGAATTCAGGGAGCAAACTAGGAGGGATGATCCCCTCAGAAAGAAAAACAGGTATAATCCAAACACTAAGTTGTTTGATAAATGCCTGCTGAAAGATTTGAACAACCATTTCATTTAGTAATGACACATTAAACATTAAATATGCATATATGAATATAAAAGAGCTCTGGTGGCACAAATGGTCAAGCTCTTGGCTGCTAACCAAAAGGTTGGTGGGTCAAACCCACCCAGCAGCCCCACAGGAGAAAGATCTGATGATCTGCTTCCATAAAGATTACAGCCTAGAAAACTCTATGGGGGCAGTTCAACTCTGCCCCATGGGGTTGCTAGATCAGAGTCGACTCAACGGCATCCAACAACAACATATGAATATATGCGTATTTTTATTTGGTAATGACACATTAACATTATGTGTGTGTGTGTGTGTATTCCCCTATTCAAGAATCCTGTTGTTTTTATTGACCTATCTCAAACAAAAATACATTTTTCAGAGTATAAGCCTCTTGGTGATTCTCAACTAATTCAGACTGAAACCTTGATGAATATAGCACAACTATACTTAGGTATGGACCCCTGGTGGCACAGTGGTTAAGAGCTCAGCTGCTAACCAAAAGGTCAGCAGTTCAGGTCCACCAGCCGCTCCTTGGAAACCCTATGGGGCAGTTCTACTCTGTCCTATAGGGTTGCTGTCATGGTTTGAATTATGTCCCCCAAAAAACATGTGTATCGGTTTGGCTGGGCCATGATTCCTGGTACTGTGTGATTTTCCTATATGTTGTAAATCCTGCCTCTATGATGTTAATGAGGGAGGATGGGTGGCAGTCGTGTCAGTAAGGCATGACTGGATCTACAAGACTGGATTGTGTCCTGAGGCAATCTCTTGAGATATAAAAGACAGAAGTGAGCAGAGAGACAGGGGGACCTCATACCATCAAGAAAGCAGTACCGGGAGCAGAGCGCATCCTTTGGACTGGGGTCCCTGCGCCGAGAAGCTCCTAGTCTGGGGGAACATCGATGAGAAGGCCAAAAGAGAGAGAAAGCATTCCCCTGAAGCTGACACTCTGAATTTGGACTTTTAGCCTACCTTACTGTGAAGAAATAAATTTCTCTTTGTTAAAGCCATCCATTTGTGGTATTTCTGTTATAGCAGCACTAGATGACTAAGACAGTTGCTATGACTCGGAATCAACTCGATGGAAATGGGTTTTTATACTTACGTATATATTAATATATCCTAATATATTCAACTCACTTTTCTATAAGCCCTCACACATTTAACAACTGCTATCAATTTTTCTCTGAGCAAGATTTTCATCTTTCAAAAGAGAACTTTTCATTTGTCATTCTTGAACTCTTTATTCAGTGATATAGCTATTAGAATTTTGGCCCCATTACCACAATTAGATCCAGACCTTTGATAACTGTATTTCTAAGGCTCCATTGATGCTGTCCCTGTTGCCTGAATCTGACACATTTGCTGTCTGCTCCAACCAAATGGCCAGCTAAAGACAGTCTGGATGCTGCTAAGGCACGTTTTCTAGGTGTTGCCGTTGAGTAGATTCTGACTCACAGCAACCCTATAGGACAGAGTATAACTGCACCATAGGGTTTCCAAGGCTGTCAATCTTTATGGAAGCAGACTGCCACATCTTTCTCCCTCAAAGCAGTTGCTGAGTTCGAACCGCCAATCTTTCGTTTAGCAGCCAAATTAATATCCATTTATGTGGAAACACAAAATCCCATTAAAATGGACCCAGTTATTTCAGTATTAACATTCATTATCACAACATGACCCTAGGCTGTTTCCCTTCATTCTCTAATAGGGCTGCTCTCTACTAGCATTCCTTACCTAATATTTAAGATTATATTCATACGTAAAACATAGTTGTGAAACTCAAGCCTTATGTAATTGAATCTTGACTGTAAACCCTCTCTCCCCAACAGAATATAGAGGCAAAAACAAAACAAAATGAAAACAAAGCACAGGAAGCATGAGATTATCACTACCGTAAACTAGAAAACCCAAGTTCTGATATAGCATTCCATGCTCTAGTCTAAGCATTTTCTATTGACTCATTTAATCCTCAGAATAACCCTATGACTTAGGTATTTTCCTTATAGATAAGTAAAGCACAGAAAGGTAGGTAACTTGATCAAGGTCACATAGCTAGTTAGTGGTGGAGCTGGGATTAGCAGTCAGGTGCTATGGCTCCAGACTGATGCTTTGCCCTTAAACGCAAAGAAATGTCTTAGAAACCCTAAAGTTGATTTCTCATAATATGAATGAGGACATCTTTGGTACAACTGTATTTTGAAAATTTACTTAATTGAATACAAGAGACATCTCATTCATAGAACAGAAATAAACCTTCAGTTGGTGGAAGATTGAGGAATGAAGAATTTTTATGTGTGGTGAAGGGGAAGCTTTGCTCTTCCTTGCCTAATTCCCTCCTTTCCTCTTACTAATATTAGGCAGGAAAGCCTATAGACTTCCTGTTGTTTATTAGCATTGAGCCACTCTTCCCTCATCATTTTGGGTGTACCTTTGAATTCCACGGGGCTCAGTAGAAGCAAATGTTGAGAAGCAAACCACAGTTGGGTTAAAAAAAAAAGGCTGTCATCAAGTCAACTCAGACTTATGACAATACTCACGTATTTCAGAGTAGAAATGTGCTCCACAGGGTTTTCAACAGCTGGTTTTTTTGGAAACAGATCATCAGGCCTTTGTCTCGAGGCACCTCTGGGTGGACCTGAACTTCCAACCTTTTAGTTAGCAACCAAGAGCTTTCACTACACCACCCTGGGATTCCATAGTTGGGTTAAGTTACTAAGAATTCTGAGTCATATTATTGTATCAGTCTGGGAGATATTGATTCTTAATGACACTAAAGAAGCATATCCTAATTTTAGCTGTCTTAATAAGGAAACACTGCATAATTTAAAGCCATGTCTCCTTATTTATGACAGAGGTGGAAGGGTGATTTTCAAACTGGTTAGGGATCAGGTAAAAATGATTAAGCATTTTGCAAATAGGAATTTCTCGAATATAACACAAAGGTGGCAGTGTTGTGTTGAGGAAGGAAGATGGGACTAACTCAGAGTTCTCCTGAATTTTAGTCAATAACGCCCACGGAAGCAGCAGTCAAGAAATCAAATGACGTATTGCATTGGGCAAATCTGTTGCAAAAGATCTCTTTAAAGTGTTAAAAAGCAAGGATGTCACATTGAGGACTGAGGTGCACCTGACTCAAGCCATGGTATTTCCAATCGCCTCATATGCATGCAAGAGCTGGACAATGAATAAGGAAGACTGAAGAAGACTGATGCATTTGAATTATGGTGTTGTTGAAGAATACTGAATATACCACGGACTGCCAGAAGAACGAACCAGGGCTTAAAACCAGTTCATTCCAGTTGGAACCCCTGCTGAGAATTTGCATTTCTAACAAGTTCAGCTTCTTGCTGAAAATCTGCATTTCCATCCCAAATACACTGAATCGGAATCTATATTTTCATAAGATCCCCAGGTGATACTTATGTATAACTTCCTGGGAACTTGTTAGAAATGCAAATTCTCAGCAGTGGTTCAACCCCCAAACTGGTTCAAAGCCCTGGAATGAACAAATCTATCTTGGAAGAAGTACAGCCAGAATGCTCCTTAGAAGCGAGACTTTGTCTAACAAACTTTGGACATGTTTTCAGGAGGGATCAGTCTCTGGAGAAGGACATCATGCTTGGTAAAGCACAGGGTCAGCAAAAAAGATGAACACCCTCAAAGAGATGGACAGACAACGGTGGCTGCAACAATGGGCTTGAACATAGCCAACGACTGTGAGGATGGCACAAGACCAGGCACCATTTCTTTCTGTTGCACATAGGGTTGCTATGAGTTGGAACCGACTCCATGGATTCTAACAACAGTCTTTTTTACTTTATTGTGCTTTAAGTGAAAGTGTACAATTCAAGTTAGTTTCTCATACAAAAATTTAATCATACATTGTTATGTGACCCTAGTTGCTCTCCCTGTACTGTAACAGCACATTCCTTCTTTCCACCCCAAATTTCCCATTTCCATTCAACCAGCTCCTGACCCTCTTTGCCTTCTCATCTCGCCTCTGGACAGGAGCTGCCCATTAAGTCTCATGTATCTACCTGAGCTAAGAAGCACAATCTTCATAAGTATCATTTTATGTCCCATAGTCCAATCTTTGTCTGAAGAGTTGGCCTCGGGAATGGTTTTAGTTTTGGGCTAACAGAGAGTCCGGGGGCCATGTCTTCTGGGGTCCCTCCAGTCTCAGTCAAACCATTAAGTCTGGTCTTTTTTTTTTATTAGAATTTGAGTTCTGCACCCCACTTTTCTCCTGCCCCGTCAGGGACTCTCTGCTGTGTTCCCTGTCAGGGTGGTCATTGGTGGTAGCTGGGCACCATCTAGTTCTTTTGGTGTCAGGCTAATGAAGTCTCTGGCTTATGTGGCCCTTTCTGTCCCTTGGGCTAATATTTTCCTAGTGTCTTTGGTGTTCTTCATTCTCCTTTGCTCCAGGTAGGTTGGGACCAATTGATGCATCTTAGATGGCGACTTGCTAGCATTTAAGACCCCAGATGCCACTCACCAAAGTGGGATGAAGAACATTTTCTTAATAAACCTAGATGTTCCCTGAAAGCAGACCTCTGCCCCTACTACTCTGTCCTTTCAAGTGTTTGGTTGTATTCAGGAAACTTCTTAGTTTTGGTTTAGTCCTGTTGTGCTGACTTCCCCTGTAGTCTGTGTTGTCCTTTCTTTCACCTAAGATAATTCTTATCTATCTAGTTAGTGAATACCCCCTCCCTCTCTCTCCACCCTTGTAATCATCAAAGAATGTTGTCTTATGTGTTTAAACCTTTTCCTGAGTTCTTACAATAGTGGTCTTATACAATATTTGTCCTTTTGTGACTAAATTCACTCAGCATAATGCCTTCCAGATTCCTCCATGTTATGTTTCATGGATTCACTGTTGTTCTTTATCATTGTGCACTATTCCATTGTGTGAATATACCATAATTTGTTTATCCATTCGTCCGCTGATGGGCACCTAGGTTGTTTCCATCTTTTTGCTATTGTGAACAGTGCTGCAATGAACATGGGTGTGCATGTATCTATTTTGTAACAACAATAGTCTTTAATAAGGCTACAGCCACACGCAATCTTTGCAAGTTATTAACTTCTCTGGCCCTCAGTTGCTTGGGTATAAAATGAAGCTACACTAAGGAGTAGTCAGTCTCTAAGATCTTTTTACTGCTGTAAAGTTTTATGACTACATTTCATCAGCCTTTTCTGAAAATAAACACAAAACTAGAAATTCAGGCATAGAAAAGGTACAGCTAATTTCATACTCAATTGCTCCAGAAACAAACAGAAAAGGTAACCAAAATGCATGTAAACATATGGAAAGGGAAGTTTCAAGGACTGCTAAAGATTTACTCCTTCAGGTACCAAATCTTTTTAAAAATAATTCTGAATAGATTTAAAAAAATTTTTTTTTTAAACAAGCTTTCCATTTTCTTAAACTTGTAAACTGACTATACAGAACATAATTTAATCTTAGAAAAATAAAAATAAAAAATAGCTAAGGGTAACCTTGTTTCCTACTGGACCTGTACGTGGCAGATATTATTACTAAAACCAGGAATTCACCATTGAGAGGTAAATCAGATAAGCCCTGCCACCTCCTACTGTTAGCTGTTATACCTGTCTTTGTCTTTTCCATCTCTTCTCTCCTGGAGCTCTTCTCTTGCCCTTAAACTTAGCATACAGCTTAAGTGGGCCTAAATTTAAAATATTGTTTACTAATGCAGTATCTTATAACTGTAGGCTTCTCCTCTATAAACACTTTACCACATTTTAAATAGCAAAAATAATGTGTTGCTGCTATTTCTATTTCACTTGCTCTCTAGTAGTTATGGAAAGAGTAAAAATAAGAAGGGAAATGGCCATAATGCAGGTAGTCACTTCAAGCCAGGAAAAACAGAGCTAACAGCATAAGCTCGATACACTCAACCTGTGAATCAAGCAGGGATGGTTTTTAAAAGCAATGTTATGAGCTAATTTTTTTCCACCAGCTTTACTGAGGTATAATTTACATACAAGAAAACACACCCATATCAGGTGCACTGCTTGATGAATTTTGACAAATGTATGCACCCGTCTACCTCAATCAAGACATAGAACATTTCCATTACCCCAAAAAGTTTCCTAGTGGCCCTTTGCAGTCAGTTCCTTCCTACCCACAGCTTCCAGACAACCACTGATCTACTTTCTGTTACAGATTAATTTTGTGCTAGAACTTTATATTAATGAAATTATACATTAACATGGTGGCTTTTTTTTTTTTTTTTGCTCAGCATGTTTTGAGACTCATACACATTGCTGTGTATATGACTACTTTATTCCCTTTTATTACTGAGCAGTGTTCCATTGTATGGATAGACCACAATTTGTTTATCCGTTCTCCTGCTGATGGACATTTAGGTTTTTTCTAGTTTTTTTTACTGTTATGAATAAAACTCTTATAAACATTGAGTGGTTATATGGTAATATATGTTTAACTTTAAAAGAAATTACCAGTTTTTTAAAGTAGTTGTACAGTTTTTACACTTTTACCGGTAATGTATTAGAGTTCTAGTTACTCATATGGTATACTAAGTCTTTCCAAGACATTCTGGTGGGTGTACAATGGCACCGCATTGGGGTTTAAATATGCATTTCCCTGAAAATTAATGACGTTTAACATTTGAGCGGAATTTTGATTATATACACACACACATATTTTTCCAACTGTCACAGACTATAGTAGTCTCTAGGAGTATCTTTATTATGTTTTCTTTTGTATTTCCATACTACATTATTTTACAGAAGACTACAGACTTCTAACATGATAAACCACAAAAAAGTTCAGTTTATTAAGCTAAATCCGACTCCCAGGTAAAATGTTATCACTACAGTACAGTAGTTACATTTAACATTGACTGAAATAAGTCCCCAGCAGCAGGATGGAGCTATAATGCTCCCACTTCTACTGCCACCATATGGTAATGTTAAAAACATAGAGATACCACACAATTATACTGTGGCGCAGTGGTTAAGAGCTACAGTTGCTAACCAAAAGGTCAGCAGTTTGAATCCACCAGCCGCTCCTTGGAAACCTTATTGGAATCGATTTGGCGGCAACGGGTTTTGGTTAAGAAAGTCAAATTTCCAAAATCACCTTTTTCTCATGCACACATCTTTGGTAAATATAGAATGCATGCAGATTTGTTCTTTACTTTTAACTACTTTTAAACAAGCTACATTACACAAGTATCAAATACCAAAGTATTTAAATTTTCCCAAATCCAGGGAAGACAGTTTTGAAGTACCTCTTCTATTTGTTGCAAGACCTTTGGCAAATTACTTTAACGATCTATAGCTATCTTATCGTTAGGATAACTGAACTGTTTCCTAACTCAAACTGTAGACTGCTAGACGTGGGGGCGGGGGCGAAGGCGTATGTGCAGTACTTTTAGTCCCTCACTGCACAGTTTCTAGATACTCGCCGGGTTATGCAATAATTGCCCTCCGCAAACTCACTGTTAACTTTAAGGTTAATTCGGTCCTTTAAAAGAAAAAAACCTCTAACTTTTTTTATCGTGATAAATCCAGTCCGTTTTTGACTTCTCTTCCCGTCCAAGAAGCTACCAAATCACATGCTGGCCGATTTGCAGCTGCGGGAACCTGGCCGTGACAAGAAGGAAAAGCCAGAGACTCCGCCGACCCTTTACCCATCCACTGATTTGAGGTTTCTCTCCCAGTCTGCTCCACCGGGTCCCCAGCCTAGCACTACCGAAAACCACCGAGAGCCTAGCGCAGCCGGCGCCGGGCCGCTCCCTGCCTCGGCGCCGCTGGGCTGCACCTGCCGAGGCCCCCGCCCGCGCCCCCCATCCACTAGCCCGCCGGGACCGGGGACAGCTGGGGAAGGAAGCGTCTTGGTGGGGTCTCAAATGGGCTCCCCCTCCTCAGGGCCCCTCACATAGAGCAGCTGTGGTCCCGCCGGCAGAGGGCGCGGGCGCTCTGGCCACAGCCACCCGCCCCGAGACAGCCGCCAGCCAGCCCGAAGCCCCTCGACGGTCCCGCCGCTCACCGGCTTCCGCCCGCGGGGAGCCCTGCAAGAGGGGCGTGCTGTCCGTGCCTTCATCGCCGTCGTTTAGGGGCAGGCCGCGGACCGGGGATCTCATGACGACTCCGGTGAGTAGGTGCGTTCGCCACCGGGCCGAAACCAGGGCTCGCGACAGACACCCGAAACCCCGGGGCTAAGCTGGCGGGGCGGGGCGCGGCTGCTGGCGCTAGAACCGCCCCTCGGCCCCGTTGCGTCACCGCGGCCCGGCCTAGAGGCGGCCGGCTGACTCCGCCCCCGCGCCATCTTAGTTTCGGGCAATCTGAAGTGATTTTGATCGGGGTAGGCGGGGTGCTGGGAGTTCCGGCCAGGTCTTGAGTGCTCTGCGTTTAGTTGTTCAGCTCCGCCACCTCTAAGCTTGCCAGGCCGCAGATGTTCTTAGGCGGAATGTTCCTCCCTTTTCCGCTCCCTTGTAGAGACCTTTACTAACGCTCAAGGGCCCCTCTGAGAGATGGGAAGAGTGGGAGTCTGGAAGCCAGGCTGCGGGGATTTGAATATCGCATAATTGAGGGGAGGGCTTGGGCCGAATTTGGGAAGTAGATTGTATTTGACGCTCAGCTATCAGTATTAAGTTGCCACGAATATTAACAACCCTGATGCAATCTACCTCGTGGTGACATGTCTCTAAAATAGTTTTTGAAGTGGAAAAACAGTAAATGGGAACATTAAGCTGAATCTCATTAAACTGACGACTTTGTAGGTCAGAACAGTCCAATATTGGCAATATCATATAGTTTAACCTATAGAGTCCTGATGTGAGTGTGCGGTGTTTCCACAGGTCTAACTGAAACAGATTCCCCTGGTATTTGTTGACACTGAGAAAGAAGAGCTAGGAAAATGTACCAGCCTGCCATGGGCAGATCTGGAGCCGCTCTCCCGACCACAGGCTATCATAGGCAATATAGGCCTGGAGATAGAAAGAAAAATAAGGTGTGGTAGATGCCTTCGGAGAGGTCGGTGTAGACGGGGAAGATTCAGCCAACCGATTATTCAGTAAACCAGGCAAGAGGTCAGGTCCACGTGGAGCAAAGAGGAGGGGCCTTAGGCCAGCAGGAGATGGGGACTTCTGAAAGCATCCCTAACTTCAGGGATCAGTAGATGCTAGGAAAGCTTTCAAGTTACTTAGTTACTGAAATTAAAATATAGATTTTAAACTCTCTGAGGGGGGACTCCAGCCCTCTACTAGTCTTGTAGAGCAGTGCCGCTCAAACATGAATATGCACACAGTCACCTGGGAGATCTTGTTAAAATGCAGCTTCCCATTCAGCAGGTCTGGGGTGAGCTCCCAGGTGACCACACTTTAAATACTAAGGTTATAGCGATCCAGGGTCTGGGAATAAAGATTCCGATAGTCTTGAAAGATCTCTTCAAATTCAAAAAATGAGGAAGTCTTTTTTTTTTTACTTTGGAAGTTTTAGATTTACAGAAAAGCTACAAAGACAGTACGGACAGTTCCCCATATCCTTTGCCTAGTTTGACCTGTTATTAAGATCTTACAGTAGTATGATATATTTGTCATAACTAATGAACCAATAGGGAGCCCTGGTGGTGCAGCAGTTAACTGTTCGGCTGCTAACCAAAAGGTCAGTGGTCAGCAGTTTCAACCCACCAGCCACTTGGGAGAAAGATGTGGCAGTCTGCTTCTGTAAAGATTTACAGCCTTGGAAACCTAATAGGGCAGTTCTACTCTGTCTTATAGGGTCACTATGAGTCTGAATCAACTTGACGGCAGTGGTTGGTTGGTTGGTAATGAACCAATATTATCACCTAAAGTCCATACTTTATTTGGATGCCATATTACATTTAGTTGTCATGTCTTCTTAGGCTCCTTGAGACTGACAGTTTTTCAGTCTTTCCTTATTTCTGATGACCTTGGCTTTTTTGTAGTGTACTGGTCAGGTTTTGTAGAATGTCCTTCAATTTGGGTTTATCTGATGGTTTTCTTATAATTAAACAGGTTATGCATTTTTTGGAGGAAGACCACAGAGGTAAAGTGCCATACTTATGTCGTTTCAAGGGTATATGCTATCGCCAGGACTTATCACTGTTGATTATCATATGGCTGAGATAGTGTTTGTCAGGTTTCTCCACTCTAAAATTGCTCCTTCCCCCCCATCCTCTTTCCATACTGTACTCTTTGCAAGGAAGTTAGTAGGCACAGCCCACGCTTAAAGGGTGGGAAGTTATGATCCACCTCCTTAAGGGGGCAGAATTCTGTACAGGTATCATAGAGTAATGACCTGTACTCTGCTTAAAGTGAAAATAAAACAGATTTATTGAAAGAAAGACTGCTCCAGTGGGGTAAACGCTAGATCTCACAAAATGAAAATTAGTGCTTCTGGGGAGGAGCAGTTTCCTCAGAGATAGTCAGAGGCCTAAACTAGAAGGTTAGGTTATAGTATTCTGATTGGTTGCTAAGCAATTAGGAAGTGGGAGGCGGGACATCTCAAAGAAAGGGGGTGCTTTTGCTGGAATTGGTTTACAGAGCATATGTGGGCTAAGGGGATTGGATACCATGCATATTGCAGAGGTATGGTGGAAGAAGTATAACCAGAATGCTCCTTAGAAGGAAGGATGGCGAGACTACGTCTTACATACTTTGGACATGTTATCAGGAGGGATCAGTCCCTGGAGAAGGACATCAATGCTTGGTAAAGTACAGGGTCAGCGAAAAAGAGGAAGACCTTCAACGAGATGGATTGACACAGTGACTGCAGCAATGGGCTCAAGCATAACAACGATTGTGAGCATGGTGCAGGACCAGAAAGTGTTTGGTTCTGTTGTGCACAGTGTGGCTATGAGTTGGAACAGACTTGAGGGCGCCTAACAACAACAACAACGTGGTGAGTGAATGGTTGATTGTAGACCAGATCACCTTTACCTTGAAGTCCTTTGAAATGTAACGTCTCCGTTCTGGTTAGGGAGAGTGAGTTAGAGCCTAGGTGATTATAGAACAGATTTGAAGAGAGCAGATTGATAAAATACCTGGTTTAAGGCAAAGTCATTTCCTGAGGACATCTTACACGAAGGGTAACCATTTGAACAACGACCCCCAGGGAGCATTCTCCTAATGTTGTTGTTGTTGTTAGGTGCTGTCAAGTTGGTTCCGACTCGCAGGGACCTGTGTACAACAGAACGAAACACTGCCTGCCTGGTCCCACGCCATCCTCACAATCCTTATACTTGAGCCCATTATTGCAGCCACTGTGTCAGTCCATCTTGTTGAGGGTCTTCCTCTTTTTCACTGACCCTCTGCTTTACCAAGCATGATGTCCTTCTCCAGGGACTGATCCCTCCTGATAACATGTCCAAAGTATGTGAGACATAGTCTCTCCAACTT